TTTCTATCGTTCAGGTTGAATCCCGGGTTGCAACTCGCAGACGTTTTGGTTGGGGGAGGAGTTCTGCGGGCAGGTGGGGCCGGCAGCTTCTTTTATCGAGCTGCACGTTCCGCCAGGAGTCTTGCAGTCCAGGCACGTCTGGTCGTTGGGGCCGCACGTCTTGCAGCCCGCATTCTGCAGCTCTTGTGCGCAGTTTGTGTTGGCAACCGCCTCGCACGCTCTTTTCTATCGTTCAGTTGAATCCCGGGTTGCACTCGCAGACGTTTTGGTTGGGGAGGAGTTCTGCGGGCAGGTGGGGCCGCAGCTCTTTATCGAGCTGCACGTTTCTCGCCAGGATCTTGCAGTCCAGGCACGTCTGGTCGTTGGGGCCGCACGTCTTGCAGCCCGCATTCTGCAGCTCTTGTGCGCATTTGTGTGGCAACCGCCTCGCACGCGTCTTTTCTATCGTTCAGGTTGAATCCCGGGTTGCACTCGCAGACGTTTTGGTTGGGGAGGAGTTCTGCGGCAGGTGGGGCCGCAGCTTCTTTTATCGAGCTGCACGTTTCGCCAGGAGTCTTGCAGTCCAGGCACGTCTGGTCGTTGGGGCCGCACGTCTTGCAGCCCGCATTCTGCAGCTCTTGTGCGCAGTTTGTGTTGGCAACCGCCTCGCACGCGTCTTTTCTATCGTTCAGGTTGAATCCCGGGTTGCACTCGCAGACGTTTTGGTTGGGGGGGAGTTCTGCGGGCAGGTGGGGCCGCAGCTTCTTTTATCGAGCTGCACGTTCTCGCCAGGAGTCTTTGCAGTCCAGGCACGTCTGGTCGTTGGGGCCGCACGTCTTGCAGCCCGCATTCTGCAGCTCTTGTGCGCAGTTTGTGTTGGCAACCGCCTCGCACGCGTCTTTTCTATCGTTCAGGTTGAATCCCGGGTTGCACTCGCAGACGTTTTGGTTGGGGGGGAGCCTGCGGGCAGGTGGGCCGCAGCTTCTTTTATCGAGCTGCACGTTCTCGCCAGGAGTCTTGCAGTCCAGGCACGTCTGGTCGTTGGGGCCGCACGTCTTGCAGCCCGCGCATTCTGCAGCTCTTGTGCGCAGTTTGTGTTGGCAACCGCCTCGCACGCGTCTTTCTATCGTTCAGGTTGAATCCCGGGTTGCACTCGCAGACGTTTTGGTTGGGGAGGAGTTCTGCGGGCAGGTGGGGCCGCAGCTTCTTTTATCGAGCTGCACGTTCTCGCCAGGATCTTGCAGTCCAGGCACGTCTGGTCGTTGGGCCGCACGTCTTGCAGCCCGCATTCTGCAGCTCTTGTGCGCAGTTTGTGTTGGCAACCGCCTCGCACGCGTCTTTTCTATCGTTCAGGTTGAATCCCGGGTTGCACTCGCAGACGTTTTGGTTGGGGGAGGAGTTCTGCGGGCAGGTGGGGCCGCAGCTTCTTTTATCGAGCTGCACGTTCTCGCCAGGAGTCTTGCAGTCCAGGCACGTCTGGTCGTTGGGGCCGCACGTCTTGCAGCCCGCATTCTGCAGCTCTTGTGCGCAGTTTGTGTTGGCAACCGCCTCGCACGCGTCTTTTCTATCGTTCAAGTTGAATCCCGGTTGCACTCGCAGACGTTTTGGTTGGGGAGGAGTTCTGCGGGCAGGTGGGGCCGCAGCTTCTTTTATCGAGCTGCACGTTCTCGCCAGGAGTCTTGCAGTCCAGGCACGTCTGGTCGTTGGGGCCGCACGTCTTGCAGCCCGCATTCTGCAGCTCTTGTGCGCAGTTTGTGTTGGCAACCGCCTCGCACGCGTCTTTTCTATCGTTCAGGTTGAATCCCGGGTTGCACTCGCAGACGTTTTGGTTGGGGGAGGAGTTCTGCGGGCAGGTGGGGCCGCAGCTTCTTTTATCGACTGCACGTTCTCGGCCAGGAGTCTGCAGTCCAGGCACGTCTGGTCGTTGGGGCCGCACGTCTTGCAGCCCGCATTCTGCAGCTCTTGTGCGCAGTTTGGTGTGGCAACCGCCTCGCACGCGTCTTTTCTATCGTTCAGGTTGAATCCCGGGTTGCACTCGCAGACGTTTTGGTTGGGGAGGAGTTCTGCGGGCAGGTGGGGCCGCAGCTTCTTTTATCGAGCTGCACGTTCTCGCCAGGAGTCTTGCAGTCCAGGCACGTCTGGTCCGTTGGGGCCGCACGTCCTTGCAGCCCGCATTCTGCAGCTCTTGTGCGCAGTTTGTGTTGGCAACCGCCTCGCACGCGTCTTTTCTATCGTTCAGGTTGAATCCCGGGTTGCACTCGCAGACGTTTTGGTTGGGGGAGGAGTTCTGCGGGCAGGTGGGGCCGCAGCTTCTTTTATCGAGCTGCACGTTCTCGCCAGGAGTCTTGCAGTCCAGGCACGTCTGGTCGTTGGGGCCGCACGTCTTGCAGCCCGCATTCTGCAGCTCTTGTGCGCAGTTTGTGTTGGCAACCGCCTCGCACGCGTCTTTTCTATCGTTCAGGTTGAATCCCGGGTTGCACTCGCAGACGTTTGGTTGGGGGAGGAGTTCTGCGGGCAGGTGGGCCGCAGCTTCTTTTATCGAGCTGCACGTTCTCGCCAGGAGTCTTGCAGTCCAGGCACGTCTGGTCGTTGGGGCCGCACGTCTTGCAGCCCGCATTCTGCAGCTCTTGTGCGCAGTTTGTGTTGGCAACCGCCTCGCACGCGTCTTTCTATCGTTCAGGTTGAATCCCGGGTTGCACTCCGCAGACGTTTTGGTTGGGGGAGGAGTTCTGCGGGCAGGTGGGGCCGCAGCTTCTTTTATCGAGCTGCACGTTCTCGCCAGGAGTCTTGCAGTCCAGGCACGTCTGGTCGTTGGGGCCGCACGTCTTGCAGCCCGCATTCTGCAGCTCTTGTGCGCAGTTTGTGTTGGCAACCGCCTCGCACGCGTCTTTTCTATCGTTCAGGTTGAATCCCGGGTTGCACTCGCAGACGTTTTGGTTGGGGGAGGAGTTCTGCGGGCAGGTGGGGCCGCAGCTTCTTTTATCGAGCTGCACGTTCTCGCCAGGAGTCTTGCAGTCCAGGCACGTCTGGTCGTTGGGGCCGCACGTCTTGCAGCCCGCATTCTGCAGCTCTTGTGCGCAGTTTGTGTTGGCAACCGCCTCGCACGCGTCTTTTCTATCGTTCAGGTTGAATCCCGGGTTGCACTCGCAGACGTTTTGGTTGGGGGAGGAGTTCTGCGGGCAGGTGGGCCGCAGCTTCTTTTATCGAGCTGCACCGTTCTCGCCAGGAGTCTTGCAGTCCAGGCACGTCTGGTCGTTGGGCCGCACGTCTTGCAGCCCGCATTCTGCAGCTCTTGTGCGCAGTTTGTGTTGGCAACCGCCTCGCACGCGTCTTTTCTATCGTTCAGGTTGAATCCCGGGTTGCACTCGCAGACGTTTGGTTGGGGGAGGAGTTCTGCGGGCAGGTGGGGCCGCAGCTTTCTTTATCGAGCTGCACGTTCTCGCCAGGAGTCTTGCAGTCCAGGCACGTCTGGTCGTTGGGGCCGC